TTGCAGCCAGTGTGGAGCTGGCCTCAGGTCCCACAGACCTTTCTCCAAGCAGGACAGCTCCTTGCTGCAGGAAAATTGCCTTTGGGGCACTGTCCCTTCTTGTCTCACAGCAGCTGATCCAAGGGCTGCTTTGAATGCTGTCTTTGCCCCATCCCTGGCCCTTGGGCTCAGTCTTGGCCATGAGGCTGATTGCCAAAAGGAGGAAGTTTGGTTTGCCTCTGAGTCAAAGCCAAGGAAATGTTTATGGCAAACAGGCAAGAGGATTCACGCTTTCTCATGAAGTGAGAGAATTGCTGTGTGATGGATGCAGTAATGCACCTTATTTCATTAAATTTGTGAAAAATTAGATACCATTGTCTTTACTGAACTTGAGAGCATCATCACTGTAAATGCATATCGTACAATGCTCTCCTAAACTGCAAAGTTGTTGTGGTCCTTCCTCCCCAAGGACGTGGCCTAACACTTCTCCAGCTCAGACAGTGCTTCCTGCTTAGTAATTCTCCACCACATCTCAGGGATTTCTCCTCTACCTTGAAATTTCCCATTGTACAGAGCTTCCAGCTGTGCTCTGAAATGAGACACAAACCATTTCCAGTACGCCTGCATGGATGAATCAGGAAGAATTTTCCAAGTCGAGTAAGGGGGTCCAGCATTACGGTATCTCTTGAAGAGGATCCATCGGCCACCATCAGTTTCAAATTTGCAATGACTTGCAACAAGGCTGGAACAAATGTCAATGACCAGTTCGTGTGTATTATAGTCGAGGCCACGTAAACATTTCCACCATGTGGCTCCCATCAAAGCTCGTGGGCGATGGAAGACCAGCTGATGGTCTCCATCATGATCCCTCATTGTGTTTGTGCAGACAGCCCCACAAAAGGGACACTGTGCCCAGCACCCTGAAAAATGCTCTGCCAGGATGGTGTGAGGCTGCCTTGAAAACCACCTCAGGTCAGCCACAGCAAATTCTTTCATGAGCCTCTCCCTCATGTCATACAAAGGTTGTGCCATGGCACTGCTCAGGAACTCAATGTCTGTGACCTCCAGGTGCTCGATGCCCTTCAGGTCACTTCTGGGCAAGTTGATCACCTCTGACAGTTCCCTGCAAAATTCATCCAGCCAGAGAGAGATTTTGTCTTCTCTGTCTTTTCTGTCTTTGACAATTCGGGTTGATTTTGAAACGGCGGACAAGATTTTTTGATAGAGATTATCAAGGGAGGAATCTAAAAAATTCCTCAGCCTCCTACTCCCATCTAAACAGTAATTCCTAACTCGTGTCGCAATGTAACTCTCACAAAACTGTTTTGGAGACCTAAGGTATTCCTTGAAATACTCAAAATTTTCCTCTTCTGCCAGGTATTTCAGGATGCACACTTCCAGATTAGCTCTGCTGCCCTGGAAATCTGGGACTTTGTCCCGCACGTCCTCAGCGATGTCTTTAGCTACCCTCTCATAGACCGCCTGGCAAACAGCTGGTTCAATCTTGTGACAAAGGAAAACAGCAAAAGTTGTGACAGAAGTGGCTCCTTGGCAGGAAATCTGGAAACATTGGAAGAAATCTTCTCTCTTGCTGCTCAGGTACACAACTGGGTCATTTGCCTTTTGGAATGCTTCATGCATGGCTTTAAACCTTTCTGCTGCCATTCTGCACAGATACAGAGACAAATCTATGCTGTACTCTCTGTTAAAAATATATTTTGCATTGCTGGGGACAGAGTTCACACCTTTCTGTACTTCATTGAGTATTTCATGAATGAAATTTCGACTGTAATCCCGTTTCTCCTCTTCCTTCCTAGCAATATTTGCCTTCACACATGCTATGATGTTGTCTGTGATGTGCTGAAAGTTGATCACACCAGCAGTGGGAATGCTCCTGGGATCTCTGATATATCCAAAATACCTTTTCTTAACGATGTGTTTCTGCATGTCAAAAGAAAATCCTCTGCCTCTGGGAAATGATGTGATCCGTGCATGGATACCCGGCTCCTTAAAGTGCTCTAGAAGGACATCTTCAATTTCCGCATCGATATCCACACGTTCTGGAGGACGAGCAGCACCAGAAACTTCAGCAATCCACTTGTTCCAGACAAGAGTAAAGTTGTCCTTCAGTTCTCTCTCACTGAGGCTCTTCCCCTTCAGACTCACAGCCAGCTCCCGACTCCTTCTCAGGAGCTCATCTTCATATTGCAACTTCCTTGCATCCAGTTTCTTCTGCTCCTTCTGTAGCTCAATAAGATTCTCACATTTCTTTTTGGTTTCAAGAAGAAGAGTCTCTTTTAGTTCTTTCAGTTTCACCTCAGTACTTGATTTCCACTGGACCAGTGTCTCACGGTCTTTGTCTTCCCTGAAATACTTTTCCACTTCTTTCTCAATGGCATCACTTGTCTCTTGCACCAGCCCTTCAAGGTGTTGTCTGGTGACATTCTGCAAGTCCCCATTCCGAATTTTGTTATCCAGTCTCATTTGTACGTCTAAGATGTGACTCCTCAGCCTCCATGTCCACTGACTAAAGGCACTTTCCATCATCTGTACATCTAAGATGTGACTCCTCAACCTCCATGTCCACTGACTAAAGGCAGTTTCCAGTTTCCTGTACACAGCAATCTCCAGGGAATTCTTGAAGCTGAAAACAAAATTTTCATTCAGCAAAGCATTCCAGAGGTCACCAATACGATCTTTCAGACTCGAGAACCTCAAAATGCTGCGCTGTGACTGATTCTTGGCAGCCTGGAAGATTTTGCTCTTGAGTTGCTGGACGTTCTGGCTGTACTTGGGGTTGGATGGGGCCATTGGGGGGTTTCCTTCCCACAGGTGAGCAAAATAGTGAATGTGGGTGTTCACATCAAAGCCAATGACATCGCTGAAAGAGGAGACATCAGAGAATTCCTGCTGAGCAGCTACCACGGTCATTTCATCCAGCTTTTCCTGCAAACACCTTTGTCCTTCCCTGTTCTGTTCCTTGGCAGTTGCTTCTCCCACGTTTTGGTGGACAAAGAGGCAGCTTGGGGAAAGATTGACTTTCTTCATCCTCAGAAAAGCCTGCACAGCGATCTGGAGAACATCTTGCATTTCTGATGGATTTTCTCCAAAGATATTGATCACAGTCAAGTTGCCAACACCAATGACAAAGGTGGCCAGCTCATTGTCGTGGTTCAGGGACTGTTTATTGTGTTTATTGGCCATCTTCATAGCACGAAGTCCCTCTGTGTCAACCACCAGCACAAAATCAAAGCCCAAGTCTTGCTGAAGCTCCTCACCCACTGGGATGAGCTGCATGAAGGCTCCGCGGGTGCATCTCCCTGCGCTGACGTTGAGCAGCTTGGGGAAAGATTGACTTTCTTCATCCTCAGGAAAGCCTGCACAGCGATCTGGAGAACATCTTGCATTTCTGATGGATTTTCTCCAAAGATATTGATCACAGTGACGTTGCCAACACCAATGACAAATGTGGCCAGCTCGTTGTCATGGTTCAGGGACTGTTTATTGGCCATCTCGATGGCACGGAGTCCCTCTGTGTCAACCACCAGCACAAAATCAAAGCCCAAATCTTGCTGCAGCTCCTCGCCCACCGGGATGAGCTGCATGAAGGCTCCGCGGGTGCATCTCCCTGCGCTGACGTTGAACTGCAGGCCAAACATGGCATTCAGCAGGGTGGACTTGCCTGTGCTCTGGATGCCGAGCACGGAGAGCACAAACACTCGTTTGTCCCCCAGCCTCTCAATTAAGCTGTCAAAGATTGCTCCCACCCAGCGCAAAGGCAGGTAAGAAGCGTCCCCATCCATCAGCTCCATGGGATATCCTAAAACCATCAGCTCTGCTGCAATTTCTGGAAGCTTGACAAAAGTCTCATTCATGGAGTCCATTAATTCCAGAGCTTCATAAATCTGCCCTACCTCTCTCAGAAGGTGCTCCAGCCCGATGGATGAATCGCTGATTTCATTAGAGAGGGCATCCAAGGGATCCAGCACGTCATCATTCACACTGGATTTTTTCTTGCTTTTCTTTCCTGACAGGATTTCAGACCATGAGTTGTGATAGTCTCTCCTCAGTTCTTCAAGACGACCACAGGACAGCTTGTCCATAAAGACCTTCATCCACTGCAGGAAGTATTTCTTGGTGTCTGCTGGCTGGGCCTGGAGAAAGCTAAGGAATGATTTCATCAGTGGGTTGAGAGGGAAAGCTATCTCAAGTTGCTTTCTTCTGATTGCTTTCTTCTCATTTTCAATTTGGCTGTGATGATGCTCAATGCTCCTGTTCCCCTTCTCCTGCAAGCAAGTGAGTTCTTTGCATCCAAGCGACTCACCAATGCATCATTGCCACTGGGTTTTTTCTTGCTTTTCTTTCTCATCAGGATTTCAGACCATAACTTGTGATAGTTTCTCCTCAGTTCTTCAAGGCGACCACAGGACACTTCGTGCATAAAGGCCTTCATCCACTGCAGGAAGTATTTCTTGCTATCTGCTGGCTGGGCCTGGAGAAAGCCAAGGAATGATTTCATCAGTGGGTTGAGAGGGAAAGCTCGCTCAAGTTGCTTTCTTCTGATTGTATTTTTCTCATTTTCAATTTGGCTGCGATGATGCTCAATGCTCTTGTTCCTCTTCTCCTGCAAGCGAGTGAGTTCTTTGTCCTTTTGGCACCACTGGTACCACAGTTTTCCTTGAAGCGGCAGCAGCTTGGATTTGATCTCAGACAGCTTCTCTTTCTTCAGAAGCTCCACCAGCTCCTTTGCCTTTGCTTTGGCTGTCACACATGCAGGTTGATCTGCATCCACTACGAATCCATGCTGGCGAGCTTTGTCCATGCAGGCCTCCAGGCTGAAACATGCGTTAGATGCTTCCAGGAGATTTCCAATTGTCTTGGTCAGCTGGTCCATCAGTTCTGCTTCATTTCTATTCTTGATTCCTATTGTTATATTTTTGCTGTCTTGTCCAGCTGCAACATTCTCTTTTTCTGTGAGAAGACAAACCAAAGGCCTTTCTGACTCCCACAGGTCCTGCAGAAGCTTTCTGCCCCTGTTGTCCATGTGTTCCCAATCGGACACAAGAGCCACGATGACAGCAGATATCTCCTGCAGGAACTGCAGCTGTGCTCCATGATCCCTGGCGTCTCCATGCAGGTTACAGAAAGCCACGCAGCACTCAAAGTTGTCATCAGGGCTTCCACCAGGGCAGTACCAGGCAATCTCCACCAGCCCTTCCATCAGCAAACGCTCTCTGGTGCTGCCTTTGCAGTGGCGGTGGAAGAAGGTGTCGTGTTTGCGTTTGCTCAGCAGAGCGTTCAGGAGCTGGGACTTGGAAGAGGAGGCTGAGCTGCCAATGCGGATGAAGGACACGATGGGTGTCTGTGCCTGAAAGATGAGTTTGTTGTTGTAACTCTTTGTTCTGGCCTGCTTTACTGACTTCTTTGCCTCTTTCCAGCTCCTTTGGATTTGGCTGAGTGCATAGAGCAGGAACTCAATGTGTGAAGTGTTTGGGTTGGGCAGCAGCAGAGGCAACGCCAGTTGGCAGAATGCCAGCTTAGTTGCAAGGGTCTGTCTCAGGAAGTCATCAGCACAATGGAAGATGGCCATCTGCAGGTCCATGGGGTGCACATGGCTGTCCCTGCTTGCACATTCAGGGGAGGCTTCCATCAGTTTATCAAGAAAGTTTTCGAAGGAGCCTGATTGTTGGTTCTCTTGCTCCCTGGCTTGTGGCACACGTGCAAGGCCTCGGTTGCTGTCATCCCAGAAAGTCAGGTACCTCACCCGGTAATCCACAGTTAACAGCTTTTGCAAGAAGTATAATGGCAGTTCCTTGTCCTGGCTGGGCTGGCTGTCCTGCAGGGATATCTTGCAGATGGTGCAGAAATCTCCCATCCCCATTTTCCTTGGATAGTGACTTTCCAGTCCAAGGCGCTTGAGCAACCTGTCATCCCAGAAAGTCAGGTACCTCACCCGGTAATCCACAGTTAACAGCTTTTGCAAGAAGTATAATGGCAGTTCCTTGTCCTGGCTGGGCTGGCTGTCCTGCAGGGATATCTTGCAGATGGTGCAGAAATCTCCCATCCCCATTTTCCTTGGATAGTGACTTTCCAGTCCAAGGCGCTTGAGCAACTGGAGGAACTCCTGGTTTGCAATGACTTCATTTTCTTTGGATTTGCTGCCTTCTGAAATGGATTGGAATTGATTGGGCAGCTCAGGTGTTGGAATTGTGTCTTCCAGGTCTCTGAGTATGTTCTGCATTTTCTGCTTGTCATATTTGTTGTCTAAGCACCCACTAATCAAGGAATGCAAGTCCCGTTCCAACTTCTCCCAGTCCTCGTTTCCACTGTGCTTTTGGAGGAGATTCTTTATCCGTGTGGACCACAAGCTTTTCATGTGATCTTCCATGAAAACTAAACGCTCCCTCTTCTGCTCAGGGAACAGCTCTTGACTTTCAGGTGTCACAGTCAGACCCGTCAGCAGGAGGAAGGCCTGAGCTCTGCTGGCATCTTGCTCCTTCAGGTTCACGTACTCCTCGTGTGCCGCTTCCATTTCCTTGGCCATGTACTGAATTTCTGGGTGTCCAAGGAGGTGCTGAAAAGTGCTGCTTTCCACCTGGTACCCTGTGCTGGTCACAATCAAGAGCACCAAGAGTTCCATGTCCTTCTGAGCCTGTTCCTGGAGAGACTGCAGTAAGGAATAAATGGCGAGGCTGCTGGTCAGGGTGGCTTCTATCTTTGCTTCATGAACGTCAGAAGCAGAGCTTCCTGGTGCATAGGTGACAGCATGGATATGCTCCTTCATTTGCTGCAGTGTTTTGATGAGCTCTTGAAGCTCAGAGACTTTGGGAAATCTGGGAAGGAAGTGCTCAGTCTGGAAGATCCATTGCATAATGGACGAAGCCTCAGGGAAGTCCTTGACAGCCTCTCTGGCTCTTCCTTGGACAGAAGCCTGTGAGCTGGTTTTAGAAAAATCCAGGGACCCTTCTACACTGGCCCAGAAGCCACTCCAGCTGGCTCCAACAAAGCTGTTCAGTGCTTCTGACGTTTGTCGCTTCATCTCTTCCCGCTGCTCGGCTTGGAATCCTTCTGTGGACGCCTTCCACCAGAATATCCCCCCAAAGTGGAGGGGACCCTGGTTTATGTGGGACCCAAACCTGCTAAAGAAGCTCTCACATATCTTCACCAAGGTGGGGTTGTCTTCTTCCCAGCTGAAGCTCAAAATCTGCTGCTCCATCTTTTGCAACTCCCGCAGAGCCGCATCCGAGAGGCGAAGCTGATGCCTTTGGAAGTAGCAGGAGGCCAGAGGGATGTACTGGTACTTGGTGGTACAGAAGTAGCTCTGCTCAGCGTGGGACTGGTGGGTGTCCTGTGACTGCGAGGAGCTGCTGTGATCTACACCTGCTCCCAGATTAACCCCCCAAAATGAGGATTTGGCAGAAACGCTGATGCTGAAGCCCAGCTGCTCCATGGACTTGGTGAAAGTGGATTCTGCTGCAGAGGAGGAGAACTCCTTCCTCTCAAGCAGCGATCCTTGCTCCGGACCGGCCAGCTGGAATCCCTCCGGAACCCTGAGGAGCTGCTCTCGCTTTGCCAGCACATCTTCAGGTCTGCTGGTTCTGTAGATGCCCTGCAGGGCCAGTCCCCCCGATGCCCGCTTCAGCACCTCCATGTCAGGGATGTTCTTCTCCCTGCCTGCTGACAGCTCCTGCTGCTCCAGCTGCTTCTGGATGCTCTCCAGCATATCTGCCAAGGGTTTCTGTGGTGGTGGCCAGAACTCTTTGGGAATCTCCATGGCTCTCCACAGAGTCTCTGCTTTCTCCTTCAGAGCATCCTGGCTGTGCCTGCGGCTCTTGAGCATTTCTGTCAGATCCTTCAGGGCTTGTTTAGCCTCTTTTTGTCTTTGCTTAGTCTTCTCCAAGTGCTCCTTCTGCACCTCTTTAGTGGTTGTTTTGCTCTGCCAGGAGCTGTGCCTTTGCATCCCCCTCCTGTGTGTCCTCCTGCGAAGCCATGGCTGGGGAGGAAGAACAGAGATTTCTCCTAAGGTGTTCTCAGAGGCCCCAGGCTCCTGGCAGAAGATCTGCAGCAGCTCAGCCCTGGGGATTGCTCCCATCCAGCTGCTGGAGCCAGGCCTGGGATGGCACAAGAGCCAGGGTCTCCTTCCCAGCACCCTGGATGTGTCTGTTGCTTTCCTGTTTGCAGGATCAACCGTGAAGCTAAGTGTGTATCCAAGAGACAGCACAGACAGACACATAAAGAGACAGAGACAGAAAAACACACAGAGAGACACACAGAGACTCGAACATACACACAGACAAAGAGATACACATGCAGATAGACTCAGGGAACCACCCCAGTGCAGGGGGAAAATCCACCTTGTCCCTGCCCACAGCTGTGCCTGGGGCATCCTGGTGGCCCTTCAGGAGAGACTGGAGACTTTGGCAGCCAGCTCAGAAAGGTGTCCTCGTGATCTGCTGCTCGTTAGCACAGAGGGTCTTGTCAGCCAGTTGCCCATTGGTGGCACTCACCACGGAGACACTATACTGAAAATCTCTGGTGACAGGAGGAATAGTGCTAGCAAACCTTGAACCATTGGCCTAGAGGGGAGCAGACATCAGGCTGCTCAGGGGTGTGTTACAGAGGGTCCCTGGGAAGCAGCTCTGGAAGGTGCTGGGGTCCTGTCTTGGGGGTGGTTCTGATCCCACAGTCAGTTTCGTTTTGGATTTGCTTTGTCTGGAATTGTCACTTGCTCCCTGTGATTCAGGAGTATCGCTATGGGTGAAGGGCAGCCCAGGATTCTGTGTGGGGTTGGAGACCACAGGGTGCTCTTCCTCCCAGTAGGGGTGCTCAATATAGGGCCATGTGATGCAGTGAGTCTGACTTGAGATTCTCTTGCCCTATGGTTTTTTCCTTTTTTTCCCCTCTTGCTTTTTTCTTGTTTCAACACTGTGACCAGGGCTTGCCAGATTGCTTCTCTACTTCTCTGCTGCATGGGATCTGGGAGCACCCCCAGCCCCACCAGGCCTGACCTCAGGCCCAGCCATCACCGGTGAGCCACACAAAGGAGCAATCTCCACCCAGACCCTACTGCTTTGGGTTTTTCTGCTACACTTCAATTTGCCATTGTTTGCAGTGACACTGAGAGCTGCTGCTCCCTCTGGGCTGTGCAGGGGAAGCCAGCTCCCCTCTCCCGTGTCCCCAGAGCCGCCATTGCCAGCGGAGAGGCGGCCGAGCTCACACCACAGCGCCCCCTGCAGCCGCGGGGGAATCATCGCACAGCCCTACCCAGCCAGGAGCCAGCAGCGCCCCTGCTGGCTGCGCCCGGAACTGCACCGCAGGGGCGGTGCCTGGCGGGTGAGACAAGGCTGGGATTGGGTTTCTGGTTTTGGTTGGTGCTGCTGCTGTTGTTGTTTGTTTCTCTTGGTGTATATATATGTGTGTGTATGTGTGTGTACATACACTCTAGTAAATGCCTGTTATTTCTGTCCCTATATCTTTGCCTAAAAGCCCCATAATTTCAAAGTCACAATGATATGAAGAGAAGGGGATCATATCTCCATTCCAGAAGGTTCCTCCCTTCTTTGGTGGACACCTGTATTTTAAACCAGTACAGGTCCATCACTGCTGGTCACTTTTCATTGAAAAACCCCTGAAGGATAGGGCAGTCATGCATGACAGACACTATGGACTCAAGAGGGAAAGTCCTGCTTGTCACCCTAAATTTCCTTTCACAACACATTAACGCATAGAGTTGATCAAGGACAGCCAGTTAATCTGAGCATTTGGGATGTCAGGAAAGCTTTGGATCCTGCCTCTCCTAGCACCATGGTGTGTCCCTTCCAACTCAGGCCATTCCATCATTCCATGATTCTCAACCTAACGAACCTGGCACTTTCACTGCACACCTTCCTTTAAACCTTTGGGGTTTCTGACTCTTTCACGCAACTCCGAGAATTGCCCTGTTTTCAGTTCACTTGGATACTGGAGAAATTTATTCCTTGCAAAAAATCTTTCTGAGCATTCAGCTTCCATCCCACCAAGGCCACAACACTCTTACCAGCACAGGAATCGAACCGAGGGCCTTGGACACAGGTATCAATCCAAGAGCTCCTGCACCCTTCCAGAGCCTTCAGGGGCAGGTTTCCCTTGGAAGTCCGTGCAGATCTGGGCAATGTGTGCAAGGGCAGTGGGCTCTGATTCCCCTCACCCACCTCACAGCAGATGCTCCCGTTGCTCCCAGCCTTGGCTTCCCAGCAGACACCGGCAGCCGAGGGCCCCAGCTATGCAGTGAGTCTGACTTGAGATTCTCTTGCCCTATGGTTTTTTCCTTTTTTTCCCCTCTTGCTTTTTTCTTGTTTCAACACTGTGACCAGGGCTTGCCAGATTGCTTCTCTACTTCTCTGCTGCATGGGATCTGGGAGCACCCCCAGCCCCACCAGGCCTGACCTCAGGCCCAGCCATCACCGGTGAGCTGTGCAAAGGAGTGATCCCCGCCCAGCCCTCACTGCTTAGAGAATTTTAGCTACACTTTAATTTGCCGCCCTTGGTTTGCAGTGGCACTGAGAGCAGCTGTTCCCTGTGGGCTGTGCAGGGGAAGCCAGCTCCCCTCTCCCGTGTCCCCAGAGCCGCCATTGCCAGTGGAGAGGCGGCCGAGCTCACACGACAGCGCCCCCTGCAGCCGCGGGGGAATCATCGCACAGCCCTGCCCAGCCAGGAGCCAGCAGCGCCCCTGCTGGCTGCGCCCGGAACTGCACCGCAGGGGCGGTGCCTGGCGGGTGAGACACGGCTGGGATTGGGTTTCTGGTTTTGGTTGGTGCTGCTGCTGTTGTTGTTTGTTTCTCTTGGTGTATATATATGTGTGTGTATGTGTGTGTACATACACTCTAGTAAATGCCTGTTATTTCTGTCCCTATATCTTTGCCTAAAAGCCCCATAATTTCAAAGTCACAATGATATGAAGAGAAGGGGATCATATCTCCATTCCAGAAGGTTCCTCCCTTCTTTGGTGGACACCTGTATTTTAAACCAGTACAGGTCCATCACTGCTGGTCACTTTTCATTGAAAAACCCCTGAAGGATAGGGCAGTCATGCATGACAGACACTATGGACTCAAGAGGGAAAGTCCTGCTTGTCACCCTAAATTTCCTTTCACAACACATTAACACATGGAGTTGATCAAGGACAGCCAGTTAATCTGAGCATTTGGGATTTCAGGAAAGCTTTGGATCCTGCCTCTCCTAGCACCATGGTGTGTCCCTTCCAACTCAGGCCATTCCATCATTCCATGATTCTCAACCTAACGAACCTGGCACTTTCACTGCACACCTTCCTTTAAACCTTTGGGGTTTCTGACTCTTTCACGCAACTCCGAGAATTGCCCTGTTTTCAGTTCACTTGGATACTGGAGAAATTTATTCCTTGCAAAAAATCTTTCTGAGCATTCAGCTTCCATCCCACCAAGGCCACAACACTCTTACCAGCACAGGAATCGAACCGAGGGCCTTGGACACAGGTATCAATCCAAGAGCTCCTGCACCCTTCCAGAGCCTTCAGGGGCAGGTTTCCCTTGGAAGTCCGTGCAGATCTGGGCAATGTGTGCAAGGGCAGTGGGCTCTGATTCCCCTCACCCACCTCACAGCAGATGCTCCCGTTGCTCCCAGCCTTGGCTTCCCAGCAGACACCGGCAGCCGAGGGCCCCAGCTCAGGGAACCCAGCACAGCAGCAGGGACAGGCCAGGGATACACAGCAGGGTATGGAGAAGATAGGAACCGCCTTGAGAACTGAGGAGGACGAGCAGCAGGAAGGAAAGGTGCAGAATCCTAAAGGAGAAAAGCAGACAGTCAGGAGAAACAGACCGATGAGCAGTGAGGATTCATTCCAGGGAGCACTGCAGGCCAATCCTTCTCCACTGGGGACCACAGAACCAGGAAAGGCCCTGTCTCAAGACAAGGCCAGTTCAGCAGCAGAGGAAAGCTGGGTGTACTGGCAGAGCACAGGAGGAGTTTCAGACACCAATTGTTTTCTTTGGCCTCATGTCCAGTTCCTCCCTGGGCAGCAGAGCTTCAGTGCTGCCTCAGGATGGATGCTCAGGATGGGAAGTGCTGGCTCAGGGTCACTGCTGGAGCTTGTCCTCTTGAGACACTTTTCACAGCCCTGTGCCCTCCCAAATTCTCTCCTAATGGAGCACTGCCAGCGCTGGTTAGGTGTCAGGAGCCAGAGGCTGCCCTGGACAACATTAACTCCAGCCCAGCCACACACTGAACCTGCTCCCAGGCACCCTTGGCACTCCAAGCACAGCTTCCCATTGCTGCAGGAATAGGGAAAAAGCCCCATGCGAGTGTGTCAGTGCCCGCAGAGAGGCACCAAGCACATTCAGGGCATAACTCGGGATCGAGTTCCTCCTTGGAAGCAAACGATGGCAGCAGCAAGGCTGGCAGCAGGACCAGCCATGGGAATTCCTGCACCCCATTTCACGGGAACAGCCCCCCGAGAGTGTTTTCCCCAGCCCTGCCCCAGGGAAAGGGGCTCTGGGAACACTGCTGCCTTTGCGGGGCTGTCCCAGGGACCGGAGCGCTCTGGGTGGTGATGCCCAGCTGTGAGAGAGGAGAATGGGACACCCTCTCTGCCAGAGCTGCACCTTGTGCTGCATGGCTCCCTTGGGCTCAGGAGCTCCTCAGTGTCCCTTCAGGAGCAGCCAGAGAACCGTTCCCTCTCTGCCCCTGCCAGCCTGGGACAGCAGGAGCACACTCCTGCCTCGCCCCCAGCCAGCAGGAACGTGCACTCTGCAAACTGAAACCATCTGCACTCCTGACTCCATGGCAGCAGTGACCCAGCCAGGGCTGCAGAAGGCTGGGGATCATCCTGCATGAAGCTCCTCTGCTCCTGCTCTGTCAGCTCCTGGGACACCAGCTCCTCTCCAAGAACAGCCTCCTTCCCTGTTG